TTTTTTTGAGATATTTTCAGGTATTGATATCGAACATTTATCAACTGCTGCTGCTGAATCTGTTGAAATCGATGATATAGCACGAAGAGCATTACATGTTCGAAGTATGATACAACGAACACAAGAATCTTTACGAGCAGTTGATAAAGTAAATTAATAATATCATAACTTCTTTCGTTTATATATAAAGTTTTGATTTCTAGTGTGAAAAACCAGTAATAGCTGCTATTCATGGTTACTGTATCGGTGCTGGTATTGATCTATCAGCTTGCTGTGATATCCGTTATAGTTCACGTGATACGACATTTTCTATCAAGGTATTCATATTTCCATAGATTAAATGTCGAATATATATATATTTGTACCTTTAGGAAGTCGACATAGGTTTAGCAGCTGATGTCGGTAGTCTTCAAATTTTACCTAAATCAATTACCGATCATGGTCTCTTCCGTGAACTTGTTTTTACATCACGAACATTTGATACTAACGAAGCACAACAAATTGGACTTATTAGGTAAACATTGTAATGAATATCTCAGATGGCAAAATACTTCATGAATCATTCGAAATAATACTCTAAGAAAGCCGCAATGTTTACGGATTTTAAAAAACTACGGAAGACAGACTGTTGATTCGATTTTTATAATCCACTCAAATCTGAATAACGGCTTGTTCATCGAGATTTCATGCAATCGATGAATACTGTAACTTCTATCACCGCACTCACTGACAGTTTGTGGACACAGAATAAATAGTTTGACTGTCGTGGTTTCTTGAAAATTTTCTAATAAAACTACAGAATCAGCAGGATTGACTCAGAAAAATCAGTTAATTACTATTTATAAAAATAATTCAAATTCCAGTCATTTTTATATCACACACAGTTATGGTAGAAAGTGCATAATCTATCCTCATCTTCACACATTCCTACACACTTCGTCCATGTAAAATACAAAATATGCTAGCACAATAACGCATATGATATGCATCGCAATCTTTACAAACCGTCATATTTAATGTTGCGGTAATTAATGAGTCCACTTCCGTGTGTTTTAATTTTTTCGAGGAAAGGGACTAATATTTGATCTACTCAGACTTTCCTTTATACAAGACTCGACAATCGGATGCTTAAATGCTTTTAAAAAAGTCAAAGATCATCTCGAGAATAGCTGTTAGTATTCCCTCCATCGTTGAATAATAAAAAATGGATATCGTTTTATTATTTCTAGCCGTGTATTTGATACTCGTGAAGCTTTACTCGATGCAGCTATATCTTTAGCAAGTGTTATTGCTCATAAGAGTCCTATAGCTGTACAAGGTTCAAAAATCAATTTAAATTATGCACGTGATCATACTGTAGATGATAATTTTACTTTTGTGGTATGTTATTAATTAGAATTTTCTTTATTTAATAAATTTCCCATTTATTATTTATATAGCGTACATGGAATAGTGCTATGTTATTGACTGAAGATATCGTGAAAAATCTTATGACAACATCGGTATCAATTGAAAAAAGTAAACTATGAACCAAGTGAAATTGGATTTTGAAGATTTTGTAAAAAATAAACATTTTCTTTTATCCATAAAATTTTGCAGAATATTCCGGATGACATTGAATAGCAGTTTTCAAAATGAGATGAATTAGAGTTAATATTAGAATTTTTAGCAGATGAATTTCGTTGTCGGAGAATTTGATCATATTCTTTTTTAATGAAACTCGTATAGCGATAGATTGATTGATTTGGATACAATTGACATTTATACGAAAAAAAAAAGACGAAAGGAAGGTCTAGCTGAAGGTAATTTGATTGATGACGATGGACAAAATTTTAGATTTCATAAGAATATACAATAAAAATATCAAATTATTAGTATATTCTTATTT